TTCTCCCTTTACAATATATATTCATTTCCTTAAAGTTTTGAGCTTTTACATTTTTAATAAAAATTAATAAATTTATTATTAGGTGATGCATACATATAATAAAAAACAACTTCAAAACAACTATATACATAAATAATGCTAAACTCAACTTATAATCTCTTATAAAACAATGATATTATAAACAAGTAAATAAAATAATGATTGATAATAAATACCCATATTCAATTTTGGCACATAAGGAGGATTATAATTAATGTTAACCTTGCCCATGTGTTTCACAATTTCAAGATGACCGTTAAAAATGTCATTAATGCCTACTTAACTACGGGTAATACTTTGAATATGACTAACTATGACATGTGGCATAAAAAAATTCAGTATATACTTAATGTATAACAACTATTGGATCATTTGTCTAATTTTGTATCACCACTTAGACTTAAAACTTAGAAACATTGTCGATTAGGGGATGATATAGATATTTCAATTTTGTTTGAATTGATTTTCACAACGGCAAAACGATATTCTTATCAGGATAAAATAACAAAATTCTATGTATATTATGTAAAAATGTTTAACATTCTTTTTAAACTACTTTTTTTAAATTCTCATTGTACTTTTGAAAATAGTTAAATTTCTCATTCTTTATTATATTCAACTAACATCATTTGATTTGTTAATAGTCATGGATATTTATTTGGCTAAAATACTAAGATTTCCCTTTTACTATACAAAATATACAAAATTCCTCCTAAATTATTTTTTTGTTTAAAATTTCCTTTTCATTTTCAAAAAACAATTAAAGTTTTCTCCCTCCATTCGATGCACCTAATGTCATTTGGAAACCGCTTAGGTGGTAGATAACATTTTAAAAGACTTGTCATCTTGTTTAAATTTGTCGATGTCAAAACCATGTCAGTAACATATTAACACCCATGTTAGCAAGTTCCCCCCCTCCCCTTCCCTCTATCTGAGCAAATCATCTTCTTCTCCATTTTCTTTGTCAATAATGTGTCATAAGATTGGATAACAATATCTAAAGCTTTCTTACTTTAAGGCATGCCGAGTATGAAGATATAGGAGAAGATGCTTGCCTGCTTGAGTGAAGGGAAGAGGGTAGAAAAAATTTGCTCATGGGGAACTAATATATGGTTGACATGGTGTCTCAATTGGAAAATTTAAAACAAAATGTCACATGCCCTTTAATAGTTCCTAAATTTCAATAGTTGAATTTAATAGAGAGAAAATTTTGATTGTTCTTTAAAAATACATGAAAATTTTAAAAGAATAATAATTTAGAGAGAATTTTGAACAATTTTGTATAGTACAAGAGAAATTTTGATATTTAAATATTTGTAACCATTAAGAAATCAAACGATGTTAGTTGAATTTAATAAAGATGAGGAACTTTGATTGTTTTTTAAAGTATAAGGAAAGTTTTGAACGAAAAAATAATTTAGAGAAAATGTAAGACGCTCTTAAGTAATATGAGAGGAATTTTTATATTTTAGCCTATTGTTATTTATATTATTCTACTTTTATTATTATTTTTTATATAAGATGAATTTTCATATTTTAGCCTACAATTATTGTTATTGATATTATTACTACTCTTATAATTATTTTTTTACTTTTGTCCAAATATTTTAACTTTTTCCTCTTAATCAATCCAAACATAGCTATTTTCTTCAGACAAAAGTATCAAACTCATTCCCAGCCTATGCATTCACTAAATATAATCTAGATAGAGTCCATAAAACTCATCTCACATGACTCAAAGCCAACTGGCACAAGCCCAATTCAAAAATAAGGAAGCAAAATTGTTAGTGAAACGATGACGTTTCACCGAAATTGATAAAGCTAGTGGTTGTGCTAATTAACTTCTAACTATATATTTTCAAAAGATTTGGTCATATAGAAGTTTAATTACTATATACTTTTAAAATTAACTTATTAAAAACTAACTAAATTGAACTAATTATGATATCATGTCTTGTATTGGTTATATGTGTTATCATCAATTTATGACGCGTGTTTTCACAAATTCTTACTTTAATAACTATATTTCATATTGTCTCGATACGAGTGACGCTAGATTTAAAAAGTTTTTCTTAAATTTTTTTTTATTTAAAATATTTTAGAAGTTATCAGTTTCTATTAAAATTAGAATTACACGGTGAAAACTTACTTATTTAAGTTTAGAAATTCTCAACTTTGGACGGTACAGAATATAAATATATTATGCTATTACTTTCTGATATAACCTAATTAATTCAGTAATTTGAATACATTCTTATTTAAAAACTACTTAAGATGAAATGTGTATAAAAATATTATTCTTTTCATATTCAATCCACTATTTAAATCCTTGAACCTAAAGAGCATGAGTTTAATTGCTAACATTAGTTAAGATCACCAGAAGTTTATCCTATTTTTTTTTTTACCTAAGGTGAAATATTATATGCAACAACTTACTATCATTAATCAACCACTAGAATAAGTTCCATTATTAGTTTTGAATCTTAAATAAAAATACCAAAACTATCTTTAACTTATACTAATTAACTAAACAAAATCTCAAAAAGTTTAATTATATCTAAATTGTATGTTTAAAAAATTATTTAAAAATGAGGACATCTATATTTATTAAAGTATTATTTATATTAAAAATTGTAAATTCATTTAAATTCTATTTTTATCTTTAAACAATATTTTAAAAGAAAATAAGAATATGAAATGTTATATTTTTTCACCATAGCTAATAGATTACATTTTTTTTTTCTAAAAGAAAAGGTTATACAACTTAAACATCAATGATTAAAATACATAATTGGCACTTGTACAATTTGAAATCTTCAAATAAGTCTCTATAATTCTTTTTTTTTTTGTTCAATTTGATCATATATTTTTAAAAATGATTTCAAACAAGTATCTTAACGTTAAAAAGTATTAATGTCATCCAGCTTAATCACATATGGACAATTATATAATATTTTCTTTCTATTTAGATGCCACATGAGCATCGCATAAATGTTACGTTGATACCAAGTGAATGTTCATATGACAACCATATGGACTTTTTTTTCTCCAAAAAAAAAAAATAAAAAAATAAAAGGTTTCCTCTTTTTCTTCATCATAAAGCCTCTAGATCTCTTTGTTGCTCAAGGCCATATCTATACCTTCCTCTCCTTCCTCCATCTCATTGTTATTCGTGCTTTTAAGTTGCACCTCCTTCCTATTTTTTTTCATTAACTCCGTTACACTTGTCAACTACTCACTCCTTGAATCATTGAAACATTTGGGAGTCCTTGATGACCTAGACTTAGACTTTGATTTGGATCTTGAATCCCTTGAATCTATACTCATTCCCCCTTTTATCATTAGTTGTTCACTCCCTGAATCTTTTAACTGACTTGGTGGCCTAATATCTTTTATTTTCCTCGCTCTCATGTTCGCAGTCCCTCTCTTACCTTTTTTTCACCTAAATTCATTCACTATGTTGCAAAATCTCCTCCATGATGATATATTGTTTTTGATCTTCTGTCATTCTTGGCCAGACCAAACCCTTTAGTAAACTCCCTCAATGAAATGCAAAAGCTCTTTGATAAATGAATCCTCTCGTTCCGACATTAATGATCAAACTTTTTCATCCTATCGAAACTCTTGAAATTGTGATATAAGATTTCTTGCGACAAAGCGAGTTGAAGATTTTATAATAAAGAAAGGAGATGAAAAGAGGAAAGTTTTAGGTTTTTTTTTTTGGACATCAATATGGATGCCACGTGGATGTCCAAACAAAAAGAAAATACTACATCATGGTCTACTTGTGATTAGGTTAGACTACGTTAATGACTTATTATAATAAAAAAGTTATCTGAATCATTTTTAACATATAAGACCAAATTAAATAGAAAAAAAATTATAATTACTTAATCGTTCTCCAATTGTGTAGATACCAATTATATATTTTACCTAAATAATTATGTATGACGATATCATACGTTATTTGATTTTGATGTCTTGATAACATGCCACGTGTCCATCATTCTCATCTATATGAGTAGTAAGTACCACACCCAACCTAACCAATACAACCATTCCTTGCTCCTATTGCTGAAGGAAAATGCACTCACCCTTCCATTTCCCTTTTTAACCTTCACTCTCGTTCTAAATTCCATTTTCCCTCTACCCTGGTTTTCTCCACAGCTG